GAGGTATCTCAGTCACAAAGGGACAAATGCTATATGGTGCCACTGTTGTAGAATGAGGCTGGCATTGGGGTGGGCGTAAGACTGAGAAAAACTGGATGAAATAGGTTTACGGCATTGAAGTCTATGGGGGAGAGAACAGTTTAAAAGTATTATATTTTAGGGCATTACGTTTATCGTAGGAGTATGCAATGAGGGTTGCAGAGTGGATTATAGTTGGGGTTGGGGGTGGGATTGGGGGAGGTGCAGGGGGGATTGTGTACTAATGAGGGAGTTTTTCTTTTGCTTTTCAAGGATAGGAGCAAACGCGGTGGGGGGAAGGGGAGGTGGGATGGGCAGGGAGAAGGGAAAAAAAAAACAACAAAAACCAAAAAACCAATATTTGGAAAAAAATTTGGAAGCAGAAGTGGCATCCACTTCCTCAATAAGATGCCTCTGGAAACTCTGAACTTTGATTAATGTCAATAGTTGTAGAGGGGCTCAGGCATTTTGTTCATAGAGTCGTGCTGAGTCGTGCTCAACTCAAAGGCAATGAACAACAACACTCTTAAGAACAGCAAATCCTTTAGGACCTTCTTTTCATGTATGTTTTCTATTTTTGTGGCATTCTGGAGCTGTCATTTAAATATTATTCTGTACTTTTGAAAATAAATAACTTCTAATAAATTAATTTTTATATATGTTTTAAAAAGGAAAGTATTAATTTTCACCTAAAGCGGAATCTACTAGGAAAAAAATTGAATTTTAATTACTTACTTTGGTCTTATATAATTTGAAAATATGCACAAATGAAATACTTCTTCCTCAAACTATTTATAGTTGTAATAAAAATTACCGTTTTATTTTTCAAGAATTACCAATTCATTTTCCAGGGATCTCTAATATATCATTAATCTCAATTTCTATTGAACATGAATATTTAATGTTATGTGCCTTTGAGTCACTTGTGACTCAGTGGCCCCATGTACAAGAGCCCTAATCCCTCCTCTATCCTGTGCCAACCTCACTGTCTCTGATACACCTACTCCCATTACCCCAATCACTGAATCAATCTAACTCATCAAGGGTCTTCCTCTCTCGCGCTGTCCCTCCACCCTCCCAAATATGATGTCCCTCTCCAAGGAGTGGTCCCTCATTGCAACATGCCCAAAGTATGTCAAATGAAGCTTCAGAATCCTTGCCTCCAAGGAGCAGCCTGGTTTCACCCTCTCTAGGATGAACCTGTTTGTTCTCCTAGCAGTCCATGGTATATTCAACACTATTCTCCAGCACCATAGCTCAAAGCCATCAATCCTCTGTCATCCCTCGTCACTGTCCTGCTCTCCGATGCATAGCCCACAATTGCAAAGACCATGGTGTGGAATCAGGTGCACCTTAGTCTCCAGCCTGATGATGTTGCATTTCAGTACTCTGGAGAGGTCCCTGACAGCTGATTTTCTCAATGCAATTCATCTCTTGATTTCCTGGCTGCTGGTACCAAGAGTATTGATTGTAGAGCCAGGCAAACTAAAACTGTTAACTACCTCAGTCTCTTCATCATCCATACTGATGCTGTAAATTGGCCCAGTGGTAAGAATCTTTGTTTTTTTGATGTTGAACTTCAATCCATACTGAAGGATGTAGTCCTTGACCTTCTGCAGCAGAGCTTCAGGTCCTCCTCAGTTTTAGCAAGTAGGGTTGTGTCATCTGCATAACACAAGGAGTTGATCAATCTTCCACCAATCCTGATGCCACAGTCCTCCTTGTACAGACCAGTATCCCACATGATCTGTACTGTTCTGCATACAGATTGAAAAGGTATGGAGATAAGAGTACATCCCTTGCAGACACCATTTCCAATTTTCAACCACACAGTATCTCCTTGTTCTGTTCTGACAACTGCCTCTTGGTTCAAGTATAGGTTTCACATAAGCACAATCAAATGTTCTAGGATTCCCATTCTTCTCAGAATCAGCCACAATTTGTTGTGATCCACATAGTCAAAAGCCTTTACATAGTCAATGAAACACAGATAAACATTCCTCTGGTACTCACAGCTTTCTGTCAAGACCCATCTAACATTAGCTATGCACATTTGGCAGTTCTTTGTTAATGTGTTGCTCCAGTCGTTTTTGGATAATTTTCAGGAGAATCTTGGCTTGCATGTGATATTAATGATATTGTTTGATAATTTCCGCACTCTGTCAGGTCACCTTTCTTTGGAAGGGGAACAAATATCGATCTCTTCCCGTGAGTTTGGCCATGTGATTGTTCTCCAGATTTCTTGGCACAACTTAGTGAGGACATCCAGGGCAGCGTCTGTTTGTTGAAATATGTCAATTGGTATGTCATTAACGCCTGGAGCCTTGTTTTTTGCCAGTTCTTTCAGACCAACTTGAACTTCCTCCTTCATCACCACAGGCTCTTGCTCAGATGTTGTTTCATGAAATTCTTCTGTGTCAGCCAATTCCTCCTGGTACAGTGACTCTGTATACACCTTCCATCTTCTTTTAATACTTCTTGGATCATTTAACATTCTGCCCAAAGCATCCATAAGTATTGTATTCCATATTAAATACCAAAAGTACTAATTTAGTTTACACCAGGTTTACTTCTTTTCAGTCTCTAATGATGTATTTTGAGACATGGTCCCCCTTTTCTCTAACACCTTTACAGAAAGGACAATAGAACTCTTTTTTTTAAACAAACAAACAAACAAAACAACCCACAATAAAAACAAAAACCTTAAATTAAAAAAAGCAAGAAATAGAAGATTTCTGGATAGCAATAGAAATAACTCAGCTCTAAGGATCCTCCACAGTTCGATGCAATGCCAAGGCCTACTTGGCCTTCATATTAAAAACAGAAGCATCAAAGTAGCACACTATCTCCTCATCCGGGATGATACCTGTCTGTCATAACCTTTTTTCCGTTTGAGGGTACACATCCCTTAGGGGAAATCATACAGGTAAGGTGCCTTCATCATTCTCCCAAACAGAAGTTTACCCCTTCTGTTCTTTGGGGAGGAGAGAACCCAGGGATCTTTCTTTTTTTTCTCCAACTCATCACTGATTCTTGGTCTTGTTTTTAACTTGAGTAGTAAGTATGCTTGGCAGGAGAAGTGAGACAAAGAGGATGAAGTGGGTGTCATTCAAGGTGATGAAGGGAAAGATATGTTTCACTGTGGCAGCACTACTCCCTGGTTCACGCCTCCAGTTGTAAGTCAGGACACTGACAACAGATCTTACAAACATCTGCAGGCCATGTAGGCTAGTGATAATCATGGAAAGCATCTATGGGGATTCCCTTTGGGTGCCTTCAGAACATAATAGGTGTCCATGATGGAATGCACGCCAAGATTCATAGTCACGAACCAACCACCAGCAGCCATCTTGCTCTTTTTTTTTTTTTTTAATTTGTATTTAGAATTAGCTAGCTGGGTGTTGTTAAAATCCAAAGCATCATAGTCAGGAACAATTTGAACATAGGCCTTCTTCTCTCCATGCGGCCTAATCCATATCGATGTCATAGAGCTCTTTTACAACTTGTTTAATTTGGTGCTTGTTGGCCTTGACATCTACAATGAACACAAGTGTGTTGTTATCTTCTATCTTCTTCATGATTCACTCAGTGGTCAGGGGAAACTTGATGATGGCATAGTGGCCAAGCTTGTTTCTCCTGGGGGCGCTCTTCAGGGGGTACTTGGCTGCCTTCAGAGTCTCAGCATCTTAGGCTGCCAGAAGGTGGATGATGTGCGGATCTTGGGTTTTTTTTGTCTGTGGATGCCCTTTAGGACTGCCTTCTTGGCCTTTAATGCCTTTGCTTTGGCTTCAGTTTTGGGAGGGGCAGGGGCTTCCTTCTCTTTTGGCGTCATCTTTGTAGAAAGGAGCCATCTTGCTCTTGAATCCAAAGCATGTGAACTTAGCACTATGCTATGTTGGTACAGTGCACAAAGATGAGTGGTCGCTTACCCAGAATGACAAAGGTTGTGTCTATGAGTTCAATGATCTTGCTGAGAACAAACACTTTGCTCCAGATTCTGACAGTGAGATGGTTGATGAAGGAGTCATAGCACACAGAGTGCTTTGGGCCCATCCTAGACATAATGGTCCCCATGATGTCCTGACTGTCCCTAGGATATTGAAGATGGCAAAGGCTAAGTGAACAGAGAATCAGAGGCCTCTGAAGCTTGAATGCCTTCTGTGCCTTCATATAGATGAAGATGTGCACAAAGACGGGCAGCAAGTAGAGGAAAGCTATGAAGGATGAGCTTGTCCAGCATTTCTCCAGTAAAGACCTTAAATCAACGACCTCCTTGAATTTGTAGCACTGAACAGCTCATTTTCTGTTTAAGAGACATTTGTAGCTTTTGTTCTACAGACATCGAGTGCTGAGGTTTGGGGAGCTGGCCCACGTATGGAACAAACCTCTGTGCTCGATGGAATAGATGCAGGAGGTAAGAAACCTAGTGACAACTGAGAAGAACTTTGGCAGTAGATGTGTGCTGAAGGAGCCTGTGGACTCTTTAAATACAGTGTTTTCAAGCAAATGAGATGATCAGACTTTGGTCTCTAGAGCTATTTGCTGGTATAATATAATGAAGGCTCCATGGAGATTCTAGAACTAGGACAGAGAAAGTACAAAGTGATGCTGGGTCATTTCTGGGGCAAATAAAAAACAGAAGCTAATGTGAATCAGAAAATTACTTTTAAAATGAATTTGTACACTACTTAATAAATTATAAGTTTTATCCTAAATGGGTTCCAAATTGTAAAAGCATACTCTACTTTCCTTCAGTTTCATGAGATCTTATGTAGTTAATTAACTTAGCTGAAACTTAAATGTCTTTAAAGTGGTGACTATTCACATTTGGCCAAATCTAGAAATATGGTAAATTTTATGGGCAAATATTCCATTTCACCCCCATCCCCACCAAATACAAAACTAAACTGAAGAACTTTTTTTAATTTTTATTTTAAATGTGTGTACCGTCAAATCGGATCTGCCTGGTACAGGAGGTGACTGTTCCTCCTTCTTCAGCAGAGCATCTGGTGGATTTGAACCGCATACCTCTGGGTCTGCAGTGTAGCTTCTTGCCACTAGGCCACCAGACCTCAAGAACTAACATTTAAAAAAAAAACAACAACAAAAAAACCCCAAAAACAACAAAGCTATTATAAATTTTCAAAGAATGGACAAAATTTTATGAGTCAATAGAGAAAAATGAATCGAGACTAGGAATTAGATGATGCTGGGAATAATACAGCATGGAAGTTATATTATTTAAAAAAGATTCATTATAAATTAGTGGATATAACTACCTATCAGTAAAATGATGATATATAGGATTATTTTGAAATACCCCATGTATACTCATGTGTTAACTGGTACAATTAAAAAATACATTTAAACAAATGATTATATGATTTCTCCTGAATTCTAAGTGTAAAATATTTTAACTTTGGTCTTCATAACATTCAAAGTAATTTACCTCAAAAAGAGTTGGAGGAGGAGGTGGCAGACTTGTGATTTTGGCAGATCTTTCTTTTTCCACAAGCAGGGCTTCCTTTCGAGCTTTTATATGCCTTACAAATAGAAAAGGTGTCATAAATTAATCTCTCAGGTAACAATACAGTTTAACTCCTGGTAGTGAAAATACTAAAAACCCCATAGGATCTCAAGATATCATTTAGTCTGATTTCACAAGTTCAGTATATCTTTCAGCAGTCTATACACAGTTGTTGTTATGAACAACTTCTGACCCATCCTATCTCGCATCATCCTTATCATCCCCAACACTCTTGAGCTTTATTGCCACAGTCACTACATTAATCTATTTTGTTGAGGGTCTTCCTCTCTTTTGCTGACCCTCTACTATTCCAAGCATGATGTCCCATCCTAAGGAATAGCTTCTCCTAACAAGCAACCCAAAGTATGTGAGGCAAAGCTTCACTATTCTTGCCTCTAACAGGCACTTTGGTTGTACTTTAACTAAAACGTATGTTTGTTTTTTTGATTCATCCGTTCTTCTGTCATATTCATTCGCTGTCCAGCTCTGAGATATACAGGAGGTGATCAGAAAGACCATGGCTTGAATTAGATTCACCTCAGTCTTCAAAATGACATCATTGCTCTTTAGTACCCTGGATCAGTCCCTGATAGTAGACTTTCCCAATGTGATACATCTTTTGATTTCTTGGCTGCTAGTAACAAGGGTGTTGATTATGAATCCAAGAAAGATGAGGTCATTGACAATTTCAATCTTTTCTCCACCTATTATGATGATACCTATCAGTCCATTGGTGAGGATTTTTGTCTTCTTGGGATTGAGATGTAATCTATAGTCAAGACTGTAGTTTTTAATTATCATCATCTGCATCAAACCCTCCTTATTTTCTTTTTTTAAATTTTTCTTTTATTGGGAAAAACATATTGGGGGTACAAGGAGGTGAGGGTTGGGGGCAGAAGGGTGAGGATGGGCCAGGATGCAGTTGCAGAGCTGCACAGTTTGGTCGGTGGGTGGAGCAGGTGAAGGAAATGATGAGGGTCCAGTGGCGACCAGATGCTACAGAGGAATGACAAGCATTTTCCAACAGTAATTAAACCAACCGTCTTATCGATTTGGGAATTGGATGCCAACTCTCTGGCTTCATCATGCTGAACAGGGGTATAGATATAAAGGGGGGAAGGGAGGACGCTTTATCACCTTACTGGTGGTCTTGGGTTAAAGCTGCTTGCCTTCTTGCTCTGTTAGAAGATATTTTCCTGTCATTTGCTCCCCTCTGAACTGCAGAGTGTTTTCCCAGGTGGGTCCAGTGGGGATGACTGGTTGAACATGGAGGCTCCATCCTCCTTTGCTTCCTCAGCTGTCAGTTGTATTTCCTTTTTGTCACTGGCACTGGGTTCAGGGTCAATTGTGGAGTAAAACTCAGAGTTAAGGTTACCTATAGGAAAGGGAGCAAACCTAGAGAGAACAAACTTGTGAGTTACAAATAGAAGGGCTTTGAGGGTGTTGCTTTCAGGTTTACTGGGGGGGGGAGAGTGGCAGAAGGTGGCCTAGGTAACATTGGATACCCTAAGCATTCTTTTTTTTTCCTCCTTCCTCACCCAGGGGTCAGATGGCACAATCTGGGGACTGAGGAACTCACTCTGAGGGCCGCGACGGCTCGCCCCGAGCTGGGGGCAGAGGGCAGCCTGCCCCGGGCAGAGGGCCGTGACGGCTCTCCCCGAGCCAGGGGCCGAGGGCAGCCCATCCCAAGCAGGGCAATACCCCCCAGGGGCTGGCTGGTATACTCCCCTTCCAATTGCCCCTACCCCAGTCTAGTCCCCTCGCCTGACTGAGGACTCTGTGGTCAGGGATAGTGTTTCCAATTCCAGCATTGCCACTTTTACCACCCCCCCATAAGTGGTCATACTATATTTTGAAGTAGGTGTCACTGCACTCCCCCCTTTATATATGATAAAGGGAACCTGAGAATTGTGAACAGACTCCCCCCAGGTCTAACCATCTTTTGGCAGAAGCATTCAACAGAACAAAATATGTGGTGCATTTAGGATGTGGGTCCTCTTGTGCATGCTGCCACTGTTAAGGTCATCAGACTCACAGTGACTTTCAGCAATCCGTTGCATAGGTAATCATCTTCTTTGGCTTGTCCAATGCATGGGTAATCGTCTTCTTTGGCCCATTTCTCCTTGGGAATCCTTGAATTCCTGTTGTTGAGCTTCGATCTTCACTGAGGGCCAGGCATCAACTGTTAAAGTGTTCAATTATCGATAAGCCGAAGTCTGTGAAAGGCCATAATGGCCCTGCTTTAAGTGGTTCACTGCTACTGCAGCTCACCACGCTGTCTCTGCCTCTGCCGCCATCTTGGATCTCCCACCCTCCTTATTTTCAGTAAGCCAAGTTGTGTCATCTGTATAATGCAGGCTGTTAATGAGTCTTCCTCCAATTCTGATGCCACATTATCTTCATAAAGTATAGCTTCTTGAATAACTTGCTCAACACGCAAAATTTAAAAAGATACTTCTGAAAATTAAAACGGGTTCTCACATAAAACAACAAAAATGCACGTAAATAAAATAACGCCCTGACTTCTTTCTTCTGTTTTGTTGAAAAAGTCTACTGGACAGTATTATGAACTGGCATACATTCTTCAGGAATTTAGCAATCACTACTAAAACTGGAATTTTCAAACCACTACTTACAAAGAAAATTCATTTGTTACTATGTTCACTTAAGCAAACAACTTGTACACGTTATTTTAAACCACATTTAACAAATACTTCACTGGATACAAGATAGGACTCTTATTTAATATCTATTAATACAGTATTGAATGCAGCCTCCATTGCTAGCCAAGCCAGTTTCTACTGAGGATATGGAAAATATTAATACTACTTTACCGAGTTTTTTGTCTCATTAATAGTTCTTTCTGATTTTTTTGTATTTTCAGAGCCTCTTTATGCCTTATTTCTGCTCTTCTTTTCCTTTCTGCTGCCCGCTGTGCTAGACCATCCAAATCGGGTTCCTAAAAAAATTTGAATGTCATGTTAAGCGAGGTTAATAGAAAAGCACCTTATTTACTATCAGAATAGAAGTGACTTTTGAATTTTGTTATCCTCTTCCCAAATACTGCAGCAACATATCTTTAAGCAAGGTAATGAGACCACTGATGATACTTAGTTTGATACTCATTGATAAATGAGTTCTTTATTGATGGTTAGGAGAATAATTTTTAGAAAACAAAAGTAACAAAAAAGTAAACTTAAAGCAAAAAAACACGCAAAAAGAAACAAGGTTAAACTAATTACTTTAACTTTTACTAGAGAAATAGAACACCAAACTACTTTTTAAAAAGGTTAAAAATAATTACTAGAAATATAGAATAAATTCCAGGGACCAAGTAATGTATTTGATTGCCACGTTCTTAACAGATACTTCTTTTCCTCACTAGTAGCTGTCAAAGTCTTGCCTTCTTTGAAATAAACATGTTTTGTGTGACTGTCCCTGAGATAGCAGTAAAATGTTTTCTAATAATAAGTCACTGCACTGCAATCCCAGAAGTGTTCAAATCTCCTCCTCTATCAGTCAGATTTGATTTGACAGTACACACACAAAAATAATAAAATAAAATAAAAATTAAAAAAAACACAAAAACCAAATCAAATTCAGATCTGAGAGCAGTCAGGTACTAAGGTTTCCTTTTCCATTAAGTGAGCAAAGGATTTTTACTCTGATGTATGAAATCCAAGAATATTTACATCCAAACACATATGTTTAGCAATAGGAGGAATAATGCTGAAATGTGAACTCTCTCCACTGAACTTGTTCAACATTTGAAGCATTAATAAGTGGTAACTTCTGGTTCAGAAGGTGATTATGTAGTCATATAAATAAGGACTAGAAAAGCATAATGCTAATTCAAACATCATAGACACACCAGGAAATCAATCCAGTATTACTCTTCTCAAATGGAATGAAATTTATAAAAAAGCTCAGGCTGCCCTAAAGTAAATTCTATAAATAAAATAAAAAAATCATAAATACACGAATGACTATAACTTACAATTACTAAGTATCACTGTCAAGTAGTCAAGGAAAGAGTTCACTCACATTTTCTTTGGCCTGCCGATGCCCTTCTCCCATATTTCTTAAACTTGCCAAATACAGTCTTTCTAAGTTCTTAATTTTCTGAGTTTGTGATTCTTCCCATTCTGCCTTGAGCTCCTCTGCTAAACGAGCGAACTGCTGATTTCTCCTCTGTTTTATGTCTTCTCTTATTTGTAAGGCAATATCCCTTTCTTGCTCTCGAACCTAAAGAACGAGTATTTAACAGATTATATAAAAGGAGACTTGCTTGAAATGTTGTGTTTTTTGAAAACAAGAACTCAAATTCTCTTTTTTTTAAATT